GTTCACCAGGAGCTCGGACAACATTGAGGCAGCCCGAGTGCCCTCTCGAAGGGCCTCTGATACACTGGGAGGCCGCCTCAAAGGCCCCAAACTCCCCCGCCTGGCTGGTTGGGGGGAGGGGGGCCCACATGGGGCCATAGACCGAAACAATGAGGGCACCAGACTCTGACAGGGCTGTAAACCCCCAGCTCGCTCGGGACAACTCATTTATGGTGTGCTTACGACAACTGCCACCTGTAAAACTATCGCCATAAACTTCTGTATCTACTCTATCGGAGTCCCCTTCCCAGGAGACAGCAACACCACCAGTGGCTCGGGGTCGGGGCCACAGGTCGCCAGGGTGCGGGAAGACGCCCTTGGTGAAAAGAGCTACGCTGTCAGCACTCGCTTGGTCGAGGGAGCGGGCAGCCTCCTGGATGTCTCTTTTGATCAGCTCGTCTCTCAGCTCTTGGACGCTAGGGCAGAAGCACATCCGATGCATGATGGAGTCGGGGCGGCTCTGCACAGTGGGCGCACATCAGAACTCATCTGGTAGCCGCAAGCGATGGCCCGATCGCAAGACCAGCCAGGTGGCTCCGCAGCATATGCCGCGAATCCAGCCCTTCTCGAGGGCCGTGAACTTAGACGAGCGGAGGGCGGCCTCCACCACGTCGTAGCACACTCTAGACCGTATTCCCAACGAACGCCCGGATTCTCTTTGCAGCTGCCGCAGCACTCCATCACGAAGTGCTTTTTTTGACGAGGGCAGGGGAGTACGTATGAGTACGTTGTGAGACTCAGGACTTCGCCGAAATCGTTGACTAACTCAGTGAAGGAGCTCAGATTCCAACCGATACGTTCCAGAGACAGCTTCATGGCCCCGATGGGGCCTCGAACCGTGCGCCACGTAAATTTCTCCCCTCGAAGATGGCCTGGACCCGTCGGCTGAAAAATAGCTTCCCAAGACGACCGAAGGGCAGAAAAGGACAGAGGGCGTTTGACAATCCGAGCTTGATTAGCCCACACCTCCCTCGAGTACCGTACAGCAGGAAGAACAGCGGCATGCCAGCAAGGATCTCCTTCCAGGATGAGGAGGGAGGTGAGGCTCCTCATGCCCGCGGATGGTTTCAAGACGCGCCCGAGGCCTCGCCGAAGCCCCGCCAACTCGTAGTCCGAAACACCGTGGACCTCGGAAGCGCACGTGGCCCCAGCAATAGGCCCAGCAGAATAAATCTTACTGGAGTACCGCTGGCCCAAAACGGCACGAACGCGCTTCAGCTTGGCGACTCGAATATTGAAAGTCTTGAGGCGCTGCTTGGCCTTGACACCGCGGTCAGCCTGACGCCGAAGCCGTCCTGCCGTGTCGTCCACACCTAGGTTCACAGCCGTGCTCGTCCCAGGGGTAGAACCTCCCAGACCTTCAAGACAATCCCGAACCTTGGCCCCCACGGTATGCGAGGAGGAGGAGGAGGAAGAGGAGGAGGAGGAGGAGGAGGAGGAAGAGAAGGAGAAGGAGGAAGAGGAGGCGGAGGAGGAGGAGGAGGAGGAGGCGGAGGAGGGGAGGAGGAGGAGGAGGGGGAGGAGGAGGAGGAGGAGGAGAAATAGGAGGAGGAGGAGGAGGAGGAGGAGGAGAGGAGGAGGAGGAGGAGAGGAGCAGCAGAGGAGGAGGAGGAGGAGGAGGGAGGAGGAGGAGGAGGAGGAGGAGAAGGAGGAGGAGGAAGGAGGAGGAGGAGGGGGAGGGGGAGGGGAGGCGGCGGAGGAGGCGGAGGAGGGGGAGGAGGAGAAGGAGGAGGAGGAGTAGGAGGAGGAGGAGGAGGAGGAGGAGGAGGAGGAGGAGGCGGAGTAGGAGAGAAAACGTAGCCATTTTGGCTCAAGCCGCCCACCAGCGGGCGAATCCCCCCTTTTGGCCCATGCGAGCGTGTCATCTCTATTGTACTTGTTCCCGCCAGGAGGTTCTTCCGCGGTGGATCTTGAGATGGTTACGGGAGGCCCCCCAGACATGACTGGAGGAGGGCCCAGAAGAGACGCCCAATGTGGAGGCAAGGCTTGGGCGAGGCGTTCAGCAGCCGCACTGGCGCGCTGCATCCGCCGAGAGAGAGCCGCGGCGAAGGAGCAACTTCGTCGCCGTCCGTCGTCGTCGTCGTCGTCGTCGTCGTCGTCGTCGTCGTCGTCGTCGTCGTCGTCGTCGTCGTCGTCGTGGTCGTCGTCGTCGTCGTCGTCGTCGTCGTCGTCGTCGTCGTCGTCAGCGTCGGGTGCGAGACCCCCGTGGCCATGGCCGCCGAGGCCAGGCGCCGGGTTGAAGAGGACATGCGGCAGTGGCTGCCAGGTCCACAGGACTGGCGCCGCAGGGGGCAGCCTCCGCGATGGTCGGTCGGGCCGCACGAAATTGGGGGATTGGGAAAGGGGGGGTTACGAAATCTGCTGCATGCAGCTGGTTTCGGCCCCACCAAGGGGCCCATTCCTCGATAGATTCCTTCCAAAATCAGCTACGTGAGCTGATTCTCAACCCCCCCCTTTGCTATCCCCCCCTTTCGCCCGGCCCGAGATGGGGTGAGCAGCGGGGCGCGCCGCTGCGGAGACGAGCTGGGAGCGGCAGGAATCATGTAGAAATTCCTGGAGGAGCGCTTGGGTAGTGGACTGTGGCCTTGGGGCGTCTCCGATACGACCTGGGAACAGCGCTCCAGCCGCGCAGGCAACCTGGATGCCTGTGGGTGGCAGGTTGGAGCGAGGGAGGGGCGGGGTACTGCATCGTCGTCCTCGTCCTCAGCGATTGGGGGGGCCCAGTTTGCCCGTGTGCAGAGATGGGAGGGAAAGGGCGGCGGCAGCGACAACCTGCTTCTCTTCCTCCTCACAGTTTGTGGTGGTCCGGGGGCTCAGCGCACGGGCCCACCCCGACAGACCGGCTGCAAGCGGGGCCCCTGTGCACAGCGTGACGATGAAAGGCATACGGTCGGACCGAGGTATAAGATCGAGGTCGGTACGAGGAGTGTACCTTCATGTTCTTCGTGTCTGCTGGATGTTCTTGTGCATCCTGGGGGAGGATGCTCTCGAGTGATCTGAAGGTCGGGGTGTTTTGGCCGGCGGAGGGTCTCATGTTCTTGAGGGGTGGTATCCTGTCCTGGGTCCGACCGAAACCCACGGCCCACGGCGCGAGGCCGTGGTCGGCGGCCACGGCGGGAGGCGATGGGGCCGTAGGGGGAGCACCCTGTCAGGCGGAGCTCGGCGCCCGCCACCGCGGGGGCCTCCTCGCCCTCCCCGCCCTCCTCGCCCTCCTCGTCCTTCGCTCCGCCCGCACTGCGGCTGCTGGCCCCGCCCCCTGGGTGCGCCCGCGACGCCGCCCCGCGCCGCTGCCAGGGGGCTGCCCCGCGCGCTCCCCGCGGCGCCGCCGCGTGAGAGTGCCCCCCCTCCCTCCCTCCCTCCTCCGCGGCCGCCTCTCCTGGCCCTCTCCCCTCGTGCGTGCGGGACAGTTCGCAGTGCCGTGGCCCAGGTTGCGCGACGCGCGAGCGGATCGCCTCTGCCGCGCCGCGACGGAAGAAAACTTGGTCAGCGGGTAAGGAAGCGACGAATGTCGACTCTGTAGCAGCCGTGGGTCGGCAGCTGGGGCCTGGGAGAGGAGCCCCCGCCTCCGCCACTGTTGCCTGGGACGGGCGTCCCAAGCAGAGGTGACGGCATGGGCGAAGGCCTGACGGGGCCTCGCTGAAGGGGCTCGGAGAAACCAGGTGATCGCGGCAAGGGGCGCTAGCACAGCGCGTGCGGCGCGACCAACAGCGGTACAGGATGGGCGGCGGCCTGGAGTGGCTCCCGAGGCGGACTCGCAGGAACCAGGTGGTCGCGCCGAATGTCGCCATCACGCAGTGCACGTCGAGACGAGTAGCGGAGAGCGCGCTTGACCGCGCATGCGGTGGTGTCCTCCTCGTCGTGCTCGTCCTCGTCGTCGCCGGCCGTCCCGCGTGCCCGTGGCCCGCGCAAGCCAAGGGTGGGGGGAAGCGTGGGTCGCAGCGTGGGCGGGCGGGTCGGTGGGACCGTCGGCGCAAGCGGCAGCGGCCCTAGCGGAGAGGGTTGGCTGACTGGCGGGAGCTGCAGCGCGGTTAGCAGCGGAGACGACGCTGAGAGCTTCCAGATCCGTGCGAAGCTCCTGGAGGAGCGCGTGGGTGTGCATGCGGAGACTTGAAGGTCAACTCGAAGCTCGTGCAGAAGGACGTCACGGTGGACGTCTGCTTCTGATCCTTCTGGGCGATGGGGCATCAGGTGTTGATCCAGGCGTGCGTCGCCGCGGACGTCATCTGGGACTCCGCAAGCTGCGTGCGCCCTCAGACACTGCGTGGGGCGGCGTGGACCAACACAAAAATCGTGGCGCGGAAATGCGGCAAGAGGGTCGAAGAGTGGCACGGGCATGGTGTAGACGTCACCGACGAGGGTCGGCTCCCCGACGTTGGTGATGAGGTATTTCCCTGTTCTAGGTCTTCTGGGCCGGACCGGCGGAGGCGGCCGCCACGGCGGCTGCCGCCCTGCGCATGCACTCGCGCCGCAGCGTTGACGCAGTTGGCCTGGTCCTGGCGGTCTTCGCGGGGGCAGCGGCACGCGGATCCACGGCGAGGCTGGCGGGCGGGGGAGCGGGGTGACAGCGGCACCGTTCAGTGTCGCGCTGGGGGCAAGCGGATCCAGTCTCTGACCGTGCGGATTTGAAGGGAGCCCGTGGAGGTGGGCACCTTGCGGCTACGCTCGCTCGACGAGGGAGGCCGAGCCCAGGTTAAAGACAGAGAGAGAGAGGGAGAGAGAGAGAGAGAGAGAGAGACATATATATATAGAGAGAGAGAGAGCAAGAGACAGACAGATAATGAGAGAGAGGGAACGAGAGAGAGAGAGAGAGACGTACATATGGATGGGTGCAGGGAGGGAGGACGGAAGGGAGAGAGACGACCCACGGGGTGGAACGAGATCTTGCGTGGGGCCGCTGGGCTGCGGTTGCCCGTGCCAGGGGCGCCACGGCCGCGGCCGACGAGCTCGAGCCAGACGAGCAG